AATTGTCTTGCATAACTTGAGTGAATGTCAGATGTTTACTGAGCAAACAAGTTTATTTACTTGTTTTCATTTACAGTTATTATTTCACAGTAACCGTTCTCAAATGCTGAAGTCTTTGTTTTTATTAATGTAATATTTATTTATTTTTTACTTTTATGCCTTCCAAAATATGCAGTTTCTGCACAACTATAATAATAATTCGTTACATTTATATAGCGCTTTTCTGGGTACTCAAAGCTCTTTACATAGAAGGGGGGAATCTCCTCAACCACCACCAATGTGCAGCATCCACCTGGATGATGCAACGGCAGTCATATTGCGCAAGAAAGCCCACCACACACCAACTAGCATCACTAAAGAGAAATGTGACAATATTGACTGTTTTCAAACCGGTTTCCCGAACACATTTGCCATTGGTCAGCCAAAGAGATAGTCCCGCCCCCAAACACATGCCATTGGTCAAGTTTTTTTTTCTTTCTATTTGGATAGGGCCACACATTTGAACACCAAGGCTCCAAGAAAACTCATCTTGCAACATTTTTAAATGTTTATATTTCGAAATTCACTCAGCTGTGTGACATTCAAGAGGGAGAGAGAAAACAACAGCAATTTACAACTATAATAACACTCCTTTCAACAACATGCTGGCCAGGATCCAGCTGGTTGCTGGGAGGCACATGTTCCCTGCCACCCCGTTCCTCCCCTCCATGCCCGCTGAGAGTTTTAGCATATCTCAGTGCCTATTTACCCCACTAGAGGACTAATGGCACAGCACACTTAACAAGACTCAGCCTCCCTGGATGGAAAGATGGAGTGAGAGCAGCCCTTAGAGCCTCATAAAGACCACATCCAGAGCCTCAAACATTCAGATCGGCCTTTTAAACATCTGCACACTCTCCCAGAGCTTTAGGAACGGGCATGTTTGTATTCTTTACAGTCGACTCTGTTTATCCCGTTCAGGGTGAACGGGTGGACTGTGAAGCTGACAATAGTAAGACGATATTCACTTTCGACTATTTAACGCAAACGCAAGCAAGTATTCTGGTGCTTGCAAAAATTCTGAAATTGGACAGCTGTATGCTATGCATTTAAATTTTCTTCCTTGTTTTATGCATTACACAAATTTGGACTTTTCAGAACGGAAAGTTTCAAAGTACTCACTGACAGTTAGATTAAAAAGAAGAATGTTACTAGGACTGTTTTTCCAAAGCTGCAGGAAGACTTGCGTGTCAGCAGCCTGTGGGGTAATTCTGCCAATGTCTGTCATGTTTATGCCTCTGGTCTAGTAATACACTTCAAAAAATATCCCTCCATCAGTAATTGAGCTCTGACAGTTACACGCCTGTACAATATTCCCTCCTGTTTCTGAGGTTACCATCAGCTGTCTGCTAGAGATCTGGAAAAACTGGCCAAATACCTGCTGAGGCTGCATGTGCTGGAGGGGAGAATGTGTGAAGCAGAGAGTGAGAGAGAACGGGTGGAGATTTGGGGGGAAGGTGGTTTAAGAACATTTTGGGAACATAGACAAAAACTATCTATTTGAATTGCCATCTCTTCACATCCTGCTAGCATAAGACCACAGAACTTTTTGTGCCAATCACTTGAGCTGGACATGTGACCACTAACGCAAACAGCCATAAGCACTTTACAAATTAAATGATTTATATAGTTATAAATAATTTATTATAAAAATTATACAATATAAATTATTATGAATAATTTTTATAGTATAAATTATATATAAATTAAAAGTATTTTCACATATTAAAAATATATACATTTATATACATGTATGGTTTTTCACTTTTAGGGCCTTCCAATGTAACATTTTAGTAATTCTGAATGGCAATTGGTGAATGCAAAAAAAAAAAAAAGCTTTTTTTGTATCAAGATACAAACAGATTAAGATTATACAAACAGATTAAGTTTGTCATCTGTTAGCATGGCATGCTAACTAGCAAATAACTGACAGCTTAGTATAAACCAAATGCACACACTTATCCAGCTATTAAACCTTTTATGAATAAATCTTTTGATTTGGAAAAATAAGAAAAGCTGCTGAGTAGAAAATAAGTCAGTTTGCTATTCTCAGTTGCTTCTAAGCTAAACCAGATTTAGGCTAGCCATGTTCACGCCACAGTTCACGCTAAATGATCAACAAAGCATTCCAAGTTAACAAGGTCAGTTTCACTACAGTCCTTGACAATTGCTGTTTATTCAGTCTCACACTCACTCTCTTTTTACATTTAGCTGCAGTGCCAGGTCATTTTCCAAGCCTCATGTTCGCTGGCTAGACTAGGTTACGTTTCTATCCCTGACATGCTAAAGTTCTTAATGGCATGCACTAAGCAACTTTTACTACAGCTCCCATGAGAGGTCACTTTCTCCTGCTTCAAAACCCAAGGGTTTGGTCAGCGAGCTTAGCCCTGAGTTTGATTAATCCTTCATGGCCAAGGAACTGAAAAGAGGGCCTGGGTGGGGGCAAAACGGGGCCATCTGGAAGGCTTCATAAACATGTCTATCTTTCGGCACTCTCCAAAGGGTTCTATGAAAGTCGTAAAAATGAAAGGAGAGGTCCCTTTGCTGAGAGTGTTTAATTTTTTCTTCTGGAGACACATTCACCAGGTCCAAACGAGTAATTCCAGGGATGTTCGACAGGTGCCCCTTGTATTCATTTGCAGGCTTAACCCTCATGTTCTGTTTGCAGACTCAGAGACTCAATGGCTTAACAGCTTAAAAAAATATACTTAACAGTGAAATATCAGGTTGATGACTTTCCAAATCTTGTGATTTATGTTTATTAACAAATTCAACCTGATAACATGCTTCAATAGTCTTTTACGAAAAATGTTACAATACTTATTTTGGGGGTCCTGGAGGTTCCATATATAAAACATTTGATTCTCTACTTTAAATGGATAAATCACATTTCTTAAGCCTAGTCCCAGACTAAAAGGCATGTTTGGGCTGTTTTAACTGAATGCTATTTGCAGTGACATATCTTAAAATAGGTCACTGACATTATTTTGTCTCAAGATGCACACCAGTAATGTTTTTTCCAGGGCATTTTTATAAAATCTACTTAAATGCCCCAATTAAGTAAGGCCTATACAAATTACTTTTTTATATTACACATAAATCACTGAGGTCTCTGGGACCCCAAACATAAAACAACCAAATCAACTTAACAGAACATGAGGGTTATTTCAGGACTTAAACCAAATAATATCCACTAGCTCCAATTACTTTCACATTTGCTGATACATCCTTTGGTAGTTTGAAAGCCAAAGAAAAAGTTCAAAAGCTCCAGCGGATGACAAATGATGCTTGAGAGATCATGATAGTGAAGCCATGGTTAACCCTCTATGCCAGGAGATGTCTCTTGTTACAGCTGGGAGCAGAATCCCATCACTGCAAAGAGTTCAATTTATACAGCATGCAATCTTACAGCTTTTGAGTGCTTTCCATTATGCGAAACCATTATGTGCATCCCTTTTGTTTAAAGGGTTTGCCAAAGCCTTTCAGAGAGGTCTTCTCAATTTCACATTTATATGTGCACCACTGCATTTATTAAAAGCCTCTAAACAAAATCATATGGCCCAGAGCAAGTAAAGAAAAAACAGCTATCACACTATCAGTTTTGTAGCAACAGCTTTGGTGCACTGCAGGGCACGAGAGTTCAGATGTCAGTGGTGTTTTGATTGTGTCGCTGAACTGTGGAACCGATGTCATTTTATCTGTGGGCAAGTATGCATGATTGTGTGCTCAAGGGCAAGTGCAAACAAAGAGCAATAAAATAAAACAAGAAACAAAGAAATAATATATTTTATATAAATGTTTTATATAGTGAACCAATTCCCAATTATGTTTTGTATATTATATATATACTTTATTATATATATTCTTTAACTTGTATATATTTTCTACACAAGTTAGAGAATGTCCCATATTTTTAATAATAAAATAAAATAAAATAAAATAGTAAGTTTACTGTACCAATTAACCAGCAGATTCATTACGTAAGGCAAAGCTACAGTTCCTATTACGGCCCACACAAGCTAACATATAATCCCTATAGGTAACACATAATCCAATGTGCTATTTTACATAATTCTCTTTCAGAGTGTTCCATGTGTAGTAAAACAAATACATGTGTGCGGTGAATGTAGAATACAGCTGTGGTGTGGGTGCATTCTGCAGTGCTTTAAGGGCCCTGTGTCTATTATCTCTTTAAGACCTTTAGTGTGGACTTGAGACTCTTCATGTTTGCATTAACAACGACGCACACCAGCAACAAAAGGCAAGCCTGTAAGGAAACAGAGCTTTCCCTGAAGTGTGATTGCTATAGTGATCCGGTATTTGGATGTTTACTTAAGTCTTTGTAAAAAGAGACATTGGACCAGTCAGTGAAAAAAAAAGAAAAAAAAAACTCCAGTCCTTAGATTAAAAACTCAATATTTACGCCTAAAGAGATGCTAAACAAATTACCCTCTTCCATAACAGCTTCACAAGCATGAGAACAAGCAGGTAAGACATATTTGCATATTGCATACTTAGAAGTTCAAAGGGAGTTTAGCAAATGCATGAGACACATGTCTTTCCAGTCACTGTTTAGGCAGGAGGCCAAAACTAAAATGCACTCTGTCCAAAGAATCTCTATGACTTGTATCATATTGCTCAAAAAACCTTGTAAGAGTAACGCACCCCAACTTCAGAAAAATACTTAAAGGGTACTCTTTACCCTCAGTCCACCCAAGCGGAAACAGAAATAATGAACGCAAGAATAACAGAAGCCAGTGAACTCTGTCCTGTATTTTTTCCTTTTCATTAACAGGTCTTTATTTTTCTCCTCTATTGCATGCTTCCTGCTGCATAGCTGATGTGTCTGGTCTTGTCCTCCACAATCATTTCAGAGACGACTCTGAGAAATCAAAGAGCGCTATTTCTCGGGATTGCACAACAGGACGCGAGTGTAAACAAGCAAGAGTCAGGGCACTTACCCAGAGGGGGTGGGGCGCTGCTGGGCGGCGTGAGGGCAAGGGCAAGGGTGCTCGTTGGGCTGGAGGTAGGCTCGGAGGAGGCCGTGCCCGGGGTGAGCGTGGGAAGAGACTCAGGGAACCATCGGAAGGAAGAGACGGGACTGCCGTGCGTCCGTGGAGCATCATCTGTGCTGAGCCCCTCCTCCTCATCCTCTCCCCTGAGAAGATCCAGCCAGTCGGGTTCCCTGCTACGACCAGCTCCCTGAATCAAAGCCCGGCGGAGAAGCAGCAAACAGGCTCCGAGTCCCAGTAGCAGAAGCAGCAAAGCGGGTACAAGGAGCAGGGCTCTTCCTCCGCATGCTCCCCGGCAGCAGGACCTTGGAGGGCGGCGCGGGGTCGGCTGTGGCGGAGGGAAACGCTCACCTCCAGCCCCTGATACGAGCCCAACGCTCTGCCCCTGACAAAGAGACACCAGAAGGACGGGCAGCGGATAGACAGACACATCTGGGTCCATCGGAGGCTTGTCCAAATCCTGCTCGATCCCTCCCTGCTCGTGCTCCCTCCGCAAGCGCTCATAGGGCTAACGTGTCCAGTACGAAATCTCCATTGCACACTTCTCAAACTGCCCTACACACACACATACCTTGGAGCCAGTTGTCAGGACTCAAACAAGGCCGCCCTCACACACTACCGGGCGTGAAATTGCGGCATTGCGGTTCTTGGGGCGAGCTGGCAGACAGAAAGAGATCGCTAGATGTGGGGCTTCAGATCTGGGACGACCCCACCCAGAAACAGCAGCACCAGCCCGACTGCCCCTCTTGCACCAGCTCTGATGGTCACAGCCAGCTGCAGCAAATCCACCCCGCTGGAGCACACATTCACACACCCACATATATACCAGCATCCGGTCTGATGGGGAAAACAGAGGGGCTCTTCCCACCCAAACACACTTAATGAAGTAATGAATACTGCGGGCAAGACCACCAGCAACATGTGGCATGGGGGAGTGGGAGGGACAGCTGTGGCAGGCGGCTACAAAGGGCAGCACCTTTAAAAGAAGCAAGCAGGAATGGGAAATATATGTATTCCTTATGTGAACAGATAGAAGGCCTCAAACACAGCACACAGGCATAAAGAATCTGACCCCCGAGTCAAAGGTCACACACGGCACCTAATGGGCAAAGCTTCGTAATCCGAAACACGCTCCCTGACGAATACAAAACTCCTCTACTGTACACACATGGCCATAAGCACCATTGAGGGGGACACATCTCTCGCAATAATGTGAGGTTGATTATTGTGGGTTTTTCAAAGACCAATTCTTGGACTTTACAACCTTGAATATTTGGTAGCATCCTTGCAGATGAATTTCACACACACAAAAAAAAAAAAACATGTGACTGTCCAGGTCACATTTCCCCCAAAACTCAAAGGTGGAAAAAAACACTTATATTTAATTTATATTAGATTGTACTTTAATAAATCACATTAAAATTAAGCCTAATTTAGGAATATTAAATAGTTTGCATTCTTTTCATAATTTAAGACATGGCGACACATCAGCCTATTCATGCGTTAACATGATACAGTTACACTTAGGTTTCCTTATTGTCACTGTGTAATTATACAAGCAGTACTAAGTACTGAGTAATAATAATTAGCAACATGTACTAACTATATGAGTTAGGGTTAGGATTAGGGTTTGGTTTAGTTGATTTTAATTATGCATCATTTACTGTGAGACATGAAACAGGCAAGAAGGAAACTGTGAAATTAGGTGTTACCAAAAATGTAATACTGTAGAAATAGCTTTATTATCATAAAAAAAATGATATGATAATGCAATTAATATATATATATATATATATATATATATATAATGACCATACTGATAATTGTATTAATTAATTTTTCAACTTTGTAATGTAATGTTTTTATTATAGATAACTTGAGATAACGCTGTGATGCCTTAATTCACGTTCAATTCATTTGACATTGCCCAACATAACTGTTTTAAGTTTTTTGTGTGCGTGTGTTTTATTTGTATATATTAAAAATGGCAGAGATTTTCAATATGTCATTAACCAGCTGTAACATGGAAACAAATTATAAGCTTACTTTTAACGGGCAGAATTGTAAAATCAGTGAATATTTAAAGCTGCAGTCCGTAGCTTTTTTTGGGTTAAAAATGATCCAAAATACATATTTGAGAAAATACATAACCAGCCAGTGTTCAAAACTATCTGCTTGCCTTAGCTCGATTCAAAACGGTAAGCTTGTAATAATGTTTTTAATTCCAGTGGTACTGGTGGATTTCCACGGGAGATTCGAGCATGTCTTTGCGTCATTACGTCACATACATCTGTACACATAAAGAAGAGTCTCGGCTAGTATAAGCTATATTGCGTGTGAGGATGTTGGAGGTGGAGATTTATAACCTTTTCTCACAGCACTTGATATAATTAAACTTATCAATTTGATGGCGGATCCAGAAAGGTTCAAACGACAATCACCAGTGACAACAGATTCACCCGCTGTAAAATGCAAAAGACTTCGTTCGGACTTCGGAGTGGCTACAGAAAAAAAGAGACTGCAACCGGCCCGTGCGAAAACAAGGATACATTTCGGAAGGACATTACATGGTCACGCAATGCTGACGTTGTTAACATTAACAATTTGAGAACAAAGTATAATTTGCATGGTTTTATGTGATAAGATAACTTATAAGTGATTGTTAGATTTAATCAGCGCGATTTACTGCAATGTCAGAACCAGAACAAAAGTGGATATTTCTTACTAGTTCAGATGAAATTTTCCGGTGAAAATTCTTATGTTGGTCATACTTCCAAAAAGAATAATCTGTGATTCTGAATACTAGTATCCACACCGGCGCGGTGACTGACAGCCTCACACTCTACTCAAACATTGTGTTCATCCGCGCTGTGCCGTGTCGAGGGTGTTGAAGTACAACTCACGTAAAGTTGATAATTCCGCGAATGACTGCAATTGCAGATTTCGAACAGAGATGGCGACAAAGAGGAAAAACGCCGGACTGCAGCTTTAATAATAATAAAAAAAACGTTTTCTCTCTCAAAGTTTGGATGAAATATGACGGTACATATTCCAAGACAAGTTTCACGAGATTCTCTCTCAGTCCTCATAAAGAAAACTCAGCAGAGCTATTTGGGCTCTTGGCAGTCTTTTGTTTGTTGATGTGTTATGTAAAGCCAGCCTATTTGTGTTGAATTAGGGCTGCTGTCACCAGTTGTTCGCGTCGGACTGTAAATACAGTACAGTGCGCTTGCCATGACTCTCCCTGACTGATGGTCGACACGGCCCGTACCGCTCACCCACACCGATCAATGTCTTCAGTTCCCTTACAGGTACTTGACATCCTAAGCCACTACCAAACGTCCCAAAAAGATTTCTAGCATCCTTTAAACCCAGTTAATCTTGTCATTTGGGCTTGAGGAGAAAACGAAGGGCCAGTTTTTTGTAACATAACGAGAAAGAGAGGTTGGGTGGTTATATAGAACACTGCTTGAGAGGACAAGAAAGAAATGGCAGACCTGAAAAAGACAGGTTACCATGCTTATCCCCAGTTTGACGCTGGCGCTTGGCCAATGCCTGGAGTTAAAATTCTACATTAAAGACAAGTAATGGTTTATATAAGACCATCAAGTTAAGCAGAAATGGATTGGCTTTCATCACAGAGGCAGGTGTTGTGTGTGTGAAGTTTTGTGAGGAGCTTCACACTGGTGTGTGAGAGCGGGAAAGCGGCTGAGAGAGAGGGAGAGAGAGGGATTGCTGCTGGTGGGCCCCAGCATGACTGATGAGTTTGGAACAATCGGCCGCCCAGCTGCGTTTTCCATCAAACACATTCCTCTCACCTCACGCTTTCCCTCTGTCCCACTCGTTCACTCTGCGGCTGCAAGCAGCGCCCCCTAGGGATGTGATTTTTATGTGATGGACAGAAAGACTAGAGCCATTTGTGGCAGGAATATCCTCATACAGTATCTATACTACCACAGCCTGGATTTCACATCATCCTATTTTTCCTACAGAAAATGATCTTTGATTGCGTGCAATTGGAAAATTACCCTATTTTCATTTGGTTTGAATTACAAAATTGAAAATATGATCCATGTGTACAACTGCCGTAGGTATTATGCAAATAAAGTCCCAGTTGTGAAGTTTTCTATAGAAGTGTCACGCACAGGCTGAGAAACGGGCATCGCGTGCACACTGAAGAATGAAGACTGCACCAAGCCCTCCTTAAAAGGGTCCAGCAGTCGGCATAGAGGAGATCTAAGGGAGGAATCACCTCGACTCGTTTCTAGCCGGGGGTTTCGGAATAACACAGAATCCAATTTCAAAATATGTGATTTTGAGATCCTAAAGCACGAACTTAGCAGATGTTTAGGGTTTCGTAGATTCAACAAGAGCCTGCCATAAATGCAATATAATGACCAAACTGATCTTAAAACTTCCCTTACACATGAAAGTGAACAAAAGTCAAATTGTCCCCTATTTACTTAATACATATTAGAGGAATACTGTACATGACTAGGCATCAGCCGATATTGCCTCAATGCAATACATTATAATTATTATTAATGAACAAGTGTCCGATAACCGATATGCAGAACAGATTTTTTAAATTGTTTGATTTCTGCTTTTTGACAAAATAATGACTACATGATCCTTTAATTATAATAATAATAAATGTTTCCATTGTTTTAGTCTTGGGATCATGTAAATAATAATAATAACAATTAATAATTAATGCATTATATATTAATAATATATAGCAATAACAACATAACAATACTATTATCATTATTATATTTATTATTGTAACACTTGTTGCAAGTTTAGAAGCAGTAGCGCCAAAATAGTGAGTTCATTACTATAACTTGTTAGTACCAGTATTATTAGTGAGTTATATTATATATATAATTATTATATATTATATAACATTATTATTATTATTATTGTAACACTTGTTACAATGTTACACATTTTACAAGCAGTACCACCAAAATGTCATAGTCATATTTAGTAACTAATTATATATATATATTATTATTAATTATAATAACAACAATAAAAACTATAATGATGCTTAATATTACTAATATTGTAGTTATTTAAGCCACCTTACATTTTTTCCTCATTGGAAATCCTGTTTCATTCCTTAAATCAATTAGAATATGCAAATAAAATGGGTTGTGAAAGCCATTTTAAGGTCAGATTGTTAGCGATTATGCAAAGGAAATGAAGAGGTTGAGCTTATGAACATTAGTCTACATGCTATTCTTTAATACGGAATGAGATAACAGTGGAGGGCTTGAGCATGTTTTGGTGCAGCAGTACATTTGTAACACTAATACTGCTGTCTGCATGGGCTGATTGTTTGCCCACTAAGTATTCGTCCATAGCAGAGGAGCGTGTAACCTTCTGACCTTTTTATGTCCCGCTTGACCCGTCCGGTGACCTGTGACACCACAATGCTTTGATAAACCAGAGTCACCTTCAGCACAGACGCATACACAAACACACGGGAGCAGCAGGCAGTGAAGGGTGACAGTGCTGTGGTGTTGAACTGAGAGACAGCTATCATGGGTCTGCTGTGCAGACAGAAGCAGCAGTGTTTCGGAGGCAGCTGCCCCCCGGGGAAGGGGGTGGGCTCTAAAATAGTCTGTTGTTTGTCTTCATTAATTATAGTCCCAAGGTCACAGGGTCTCTGGACACCCTCGGTTCACCTCCCCTGAACGGCATTAAACTTCAGCCCAGATCAGCTATAATTAATGAGTCCAATTACTCAGCTCACTTATCTTGTTAAACGTCCTGCTGGAAGAGCCAAAATATGCATGTGTGTGTTTACTGGAGTTGTTTA